TTCATTCTTCAATTTCACACATTCAAGAATGAAGTTGTTGTTTTTTTAAATGTGAAAAGATAAAATATAACTGTGTATAAGTTTTAAAATTTTGACTTACAGGGTAATTGAATATTTTTGTTATATTTAAAAAATAAAATAAAAATTTAACCACAAACAATTCTTATAAAAAAAATCTAAATATTTCTAATACCAATAAAATTGATTTTTTTAAAGGCAGAGATGACATTACAATATTATAGCGAGCAATGCAAATGAATATATGTCTATAGTGTTTTATCAATATTCCTGTGAGCCAAGACACGCTATAAAATCAACATCCTCCTCATCCTCGTGCAGGCTAAGCAGGATTTTATTCGGGCCACTTGATGAGAGACAATCTTGTACTTCATCGGTCCTGGGGAGAGTTTAAACACCAGAGAACCTCCAGCGAATCGAATTTTCATCAATGTCTTTAAATACATCAGGAAAATCCACTTCAATTAACTATGTGTGAAATCAATTGAGAAAAATTGAATCAAATCCAACAATAAGATATCTTGTTATCTCAATTTGAAGATATTAATTTAATTTTGTGTTATCATACCTCTTCTTAAATTTAATCCAATTTTATCATTCCATGAAAGTATTTATCAGAACATTTACATGGTCCATTGACAATACTCGTATCATTCTTGAGTGCACGTTTATTATCATCAGCAATAGCTCATGTGCACGCACGCGTTGGTCCCTAAAGCTGGAAAACGATGTCTCCTCATGCAGCAGAGTAAAAAAGTCTTGAGTGATAATTCATAATTATTATTGGTTTTGGATTAGCAACACTAATCATCAAATGAAAACATGTGGAATTCTGAGAAGCTGTCCAATTTTCTGATTTTGCTGGAAGGCAAGCACTAGTACGTACGTCCTGGTAATTAAATCTTCCAAGGCAAATTAAATTTTAACATGACGGTGTAGCGTTCTCCGGCTCCAAAATAGGATTTTCTGTGTTGAGCAAGATTAATTATATCAGTTTGAAAAATTGACAAGCAATTGAACGCCATCAAAACAAAATCAAAATAAAAAACTCTAATTCTGTACTAGCAGAATTTATCTCTCCCTCCTTTAAAAGATCTTAAGAAACATGCAGCGCATCGTCAAGATATGATTTATATAAAATTAATTAAACATGATAATAATATAAATTATATTTATTTAAATTATTAAATTAAGATGGTTCTTGTACGCCACAATCTCCCCTGTGATTTTCGTTTTTGCCCATTCAATGTGGGGGTACTCTTCTCCCGTCCCTGATTCCATCTTCCTTCTGTACCACGATTTCTTTCTTTTTTCGCTCTTCACCACCACAAATCGTAACATTCGATCTTATAAAAGAAATAAAACATTCAACGATGCAAGTTTATCACGCTGACCTGACGGGCCCAGAGATTTTGACTTTTCTATCAAATCGAGCAAGATACTCTAGCAAGATTTCAAGAGCCGCTGAAATACGCATGTGAGGAGATTTGAAACTAGACACGCTCAAGTTGCAAGTTCTTGGCTGGCCAGGTGATTCTATTACGATTTTGGACAAAAATAAATAAATAAAAAACATTGACACTCACCGTCCATTCAAAATCGTGGAATACACGGTCAGATTCGTGTTCGTGTCGTATAACTTGAGATACTTCATCTTGAAACACGACCAGTTAAGACTCGAGTAGAGTTAACTTGGGATTATTAGATTGTAAATAACTTATTTACGTGAAAAATGCATGCAATGTTATAAAAAGCAGGACACTGTTACACGAACCTATTCCTTTTTTAAACTTAAAAAAGTGTGATTTTTTTATATTACCATTAAATCTAATCAAACAGTTTAAATTAAATGTACAAACTAAATTTTATATTTTGAGTTGTAAATTAAATTATATAAAAAATAATTCAAAATAAATTATTCTATTTAATAGGTTAAAAAATAACTTAAATATCCAATAAAAATATGATATATCTTTTAAAAATACTTTAAGATGATAATTTTATTTAGTATTAAGATGGTGACAAATTAAATCAACTTTAATCACCCTGCAATTTATGTCATGAATTTCAGTTAATTTAGTAATTTTGTTGTTTTTATAATTATTTTTATTTATTTTTATGATAAAATTAAATATTTGCAACATTGAACATTAAACCTTAAAAAAAGGTTTATTTAATATCATGATAATTATGTAGAAAATAAAAAAAATAATTTTAAATTTAATTTCCTGATCAATTTAATATTATAGAGGAGTGAAATAAAAAGCAATTAGAAAAATTAAAGGATCAGCAACTAAAAAAATATATATCGAGTTTAAAGGCTAAAGTCATTAAACCCGTGAATTGGATAACCCGAGTCAACATGTTAAACTCATAAACCAGGTAATGAATTTTATTGGAATTAATAACTTTTTTTTCCGTCTAGACTATTGTTTATTTAACAAAAACAAACGATTACAAAATTGAGAGTTAAACCAGTACTGAAATTTTTGTAAGATTATGGTAATTTTATAGAAAATAAAATAAAATAAATGATGAAACTCAATTTTAAATTAATTTAGTATTAAAATATAAAATAAAAAACTAAAAACAAAAGAAAAGTTAAATTTATCAAACTTATTCTAAATTTTAATATATATTTTTTTTCATTTTTTTTTAACTATGTGATAAAAACAAAAATAAATAATTATATAATCAAATTCAATTAAAAAATAAAAAAACACCCTACCCAACCTGTGAATTGGTGTAACTAGGATTATTTTGCCAAACTCGCAAATCAAATCATTAATTTTATGAAATTTAATGACATAGTATTTTTTTTAAAATTATTTTTTATTTAACTATTTTTTTTTAAATAAACCATATCGGAGTGGTAAGATTTTTTTCAATTTTAACTTGATGTGTTATATTTTTTTGACACAATAATAATTATATAAAATATAAACTAAAATAAATTAACAACTCTAAATTTTTACAAATATAAATAATTAAATTAGAAAAAATCAATAACTAAATAAAAAAAAGGGTAAAAAAGAACACCACAACACAGTAAATTACTATTAATCGGTGCGGGGAAATAGTGTTTCCCCTGCCTTTTAGCATTATACTCAACACTTCCTTCTGCAAAAATGGAATAATCAAGGAATGGAGGAGACCTCCCCTCCCTCCCCCGTACCGATGACCTCTGATCTTTTCTGAGTGCTGTTTCTGATCGCTTATAGCACCATGCATGGATCCCTCTGCTGCCTTGAAAGCAACAGCTGGAGCTGTAACACAAAAAAATAAAATAAATATGAGTGGTTGGAGTTTATGAATGAATCGAATAGAAAACTGAGTTTTCTAACTGTTATTTTTAAATCATTGGTACTGTATAAGAGCTTGTTAAGGTGAGTGTTTATTTTTACAATAGAATCTATTTTTAAATTGTTTTTTAATATATTACATCAATATTTCAAGATAATTTTAGTGTACCAATAAAAAAAAAATATTTTAGTATATTTATAGTTAAAAAAATAAATTTAAAAAATAATTTACAACATAGCATTAAATATATACTCAATAGCAGAAAATTCATATTCTTAAGTACCTAAAAGACTTACAGATACGTGAGCCGGTAATTGTACATGTGTTTAATGACCTAAGAAGTAAGAAGAGATAATGACGAAGATGATTTTCATTTATTCATTATTCAAGGCAACGATGAACTAAAATTTTAGAATAACGATAAAAATTATGTTTTAAAATATTTTTATTTGAAAATAAATTAAAATAATATTTTTTTTTATTTTTTAAAAAATTATTTTGATATCAAAACATTAAAACAATATAAAATAAAATTAATATATGTTTTAATCATTAAAAACAAACATACCCAGAAAAATCTTTAAATTGCCAAACTATCTTTATTGCTCATTCTCATTACGAGACTTGGCCACTGAGAGTGGGGCGTTGCTTTCTTTTCCTTTTCTGAGGAAGTGCCACGTAGATTCAATCTATTACATATTAAATTTTATTTATAACACTTAGTTAGGAGATGGTTATTTTTCTTAATTTACCGAGTTAGAACATAAAAATTAATATTTATAAAATAAAATTTATTTTTAACACATAAAACACACATCAATAAAATTGTTTGTAAATAATATTAGTTTAGTCCTGGCAATCAATCGTGGACCTTTGATAGTGTATTGGGAAAGTATTTTTAAAAAAAATTAATTTTGTTATTTTAAATTAATATTTTTTAATGTTTTTAAATTATTTTAATATATTGATTTTAAAAATAATTTTTTAAAAATAAAAAATATTAATAACATATTTTATTAAATAAAAAAAATTTAAAAAATAATTACAACTACATAAATAAAAAATATTTTAAAAAGTAATTATAACTATATAAAAAAATTATAGAATAAAAAAGGAAATTAGTAGCGATCTGTTAAATAACAATGGACAAGAAATTTTTGTCCGGTCGTTTTGGACTGAATCAAACAATCACTGTATGATAACCCTTTCGTTGGGTTAATATGGAAGAACCAGAACCGATTCTTTCTCTTCAATCAAATCACTTCAATCCACTGGGGCAGTTCCCCCTTGAATCTTTCCACGTGTACCACATCTTTTACACATGCCACATCCCTCTCTCTCTCTCTCCCCCTCCCTCCCTGTCTGTCTGTCTGTCTTTTACTTTCTGTGATATCACAGCTTTTTAATTCAAAGCTGATGATCTCTCTTGTCACTCATTGAGGACAACAGGCTCCTTCATTCAACCAAAGTTCTGTCTCTCTCAATACTTTCTTCTTTCATAATAGAAGCAAACCCCAACCAAATCTCTCTCCACACATTGCATTCTTCCTTGCATCTTTACTATACTCAAAAACAGCGAAGTCCCTTACATACAACTGTACTGTCCCGGACACAGAGAGAGAAGGACTAGAAACAAGAAGCAGTACAAATTAATTTTGTTAAAGAACGGAAGATGGAAAATGGCGGGAACAAAGGTCAAGAGAATGATCATGCAAATCTTCCTTGGGATATATGGGAGCTTAATACTTCAAGATTTGGCTTGGTTAATAGCAGTAGTAACACTGCTGCTGCTACCGACACATTCTTCACCACCACCCCCCCCCCCCCCCCCCCCCGCCACTAGTGTGGTGGAGAGCGGCAGCTCCTGCACCAACCCAGAAGGCACTTCTGCACATGGATTCTTGTTTCCGAACCAAAACAGTTGGCTTTACCACCACAGCAACAATAACAGTTATCAGCAACTCTCTCTTTATGCAGGTGACGGGTCCAACTTGCCCCCAGACCCGCACCTAATGTGCTTGAAGCTAGGCAAGCGACACTACTTTGAAAACAGTACTAGTAATAACAATCACAACAACCACCCAGTGAGTGACCGACACGAGATTGGTGGGTTCTCTATAGGCAAAAGAGGCAAACCCTACTACAGCGTCGGTGTTGGTGCTCACGACGGACCCTCCTCTTCCACGTCAGTGAATGTGCCGAGGTGTCAGGTGGAAGGGTGCCATGTGGCGTTGTTGAATGCTAAAGATTATCACAGGAGGCATAAAGTTTGTGAGATGCACTCCAAGGCTCCTAAAGTAATTGTTCTAGGTTTGGAGCAGCGGTTCTGTCAGCAGTGTAGCAGGTAACACTGGCGTTGCTCACCGTCTTTCAATTACAGCCAGCTTATTTGATTTCGCCTATAGTAACTGTTCCTGGATCTTTGAGATTTTCCCCAGTTGTCTTGTTTCTCTCTCTCTCTAATAGTCGAAGTTTCTTCAGTTGTCTTGTCCTTGCAAAAAAATCTGATGTGAAGTGGTAATTGCCAAATAGGCTTGTTGATGAGATTAAAAGTGGGCTTAGCTTGTTATTTGTGTAGGTTTCATGTAGTGTCAGAGTTTGATGATGCAAAGAGGAGTTGTAGGAGGAGATTGGCAGGGCACAATGAAAGAAGAAGAAAGAGCTCTCAGGATCCTGTTTCAAGGAATTCCTCTCAAGGTATGTATGTAATGATCTTGTACTTGACTTGTTTATCCATTCAATTTCCATTGTTGGAATTAGATAATAGCTTTTGTTGTAAAGATTTGTCAGGAATAAGCCCTTTTGTTGTTTGATCGGGAAAACGGAAGGGCCCTATTTTCTACCTTCTAATTTTCAAACCATGTTTTAGGTTTTATATGATTTTTTTTATATTATTTTATTATACTGATATTAAAAATAAAATTTAAAAAATAAAATAAAATTATTTTATAATTTTTCAAGCGAAAAACACTTTAAATAAACATATATTTTTCCTCTTTTTCCCAAAATAATTGCAATCACGAAGCAGAAATTCGAAGTAACGAAGTATTAATTAGCTGGATCAGATTTTGAATTAAAGGGCCTGCAACACTGTTTCTGTAAGGGCTTGCTGGTATAAGAAAACGTGCTCCTGTTTGAAATTTTATTAGGTGCTTGTGTACTTGAGACTGCTCCTGTGGATGCCTATCACAAGAAAAAGATGAGCAAGTAAAATAAATTTTATGAACTGTGGGAGGAGGTGGTAACTAAACTACCAGTTGAATCGGACGCCTGTAGTTATGACTAGGTTGGCTGGATAGTCTCCCGATAGGGTATCAATGCATTTATTACTACTTGTAGATGGGTTTAGTTGACATGATATCAGTTAACCTTGGTTAAATTCTGTTCATGCTAGGAAGGGAAGAGTTTTAGAGAAGAAAATTATCCTCACTGGGTAGCTCAACGATGCATTTATTTAAGGAGAACAGCAATCATTACTATTGTAACTACATAATCTAGGGTTTGCTAGAACTTTCATTAATATTATGTTGCATCATGAAGATTTGCATTTTAGACTTGAATTATTGATCTTCAATTTACTCTCTCTAATCTAAAAAGATTTTTCATGATTAATGTAACATATCACCACTACTTATTCATACTTCTCTAAAATCTCACCTTTTCGACTGGAGACTTCATGAACTTTAATTAGAAGTGAAGTAGGAGAGATGTTTGGAATAAACAGCAGAAAACCTGTTTGGGATGAGAGGAGTATTATGAACTCGAGGCCTTTACCTCTCGGAGAAGGTGGAGATTGCTTGGCAAACATTATGACAGATGATTTACGTTAATCAACTTAGAGTGTATTCCTTTGAGGAAGATGACAAGTGATTTTGGTTCTAATAGAATAATCTTTATGCTTTATTTGCTATCATTAAGTGAATTGGCATTGATATAGACAACGCAGTTGAAAATTTATGAACATGAAAGAAACTGAACGGACAATTTCCTCCTCAACAGAAAAACTGATGGCTGGGAGATTTCCATACATAGCGTCGCCGACAGGATGTGCTCTCTCTCTTCTGTCATCCAAAGCTGATTCCTGGGTTTCTCCGTCTGATCTCCCCTCAAGATCAAGTGCTGCACTTCGTGAATTGATTGCAGAACACCGCACAGCCATATTAGCTAGACAGCTTGTTCTTGAAAAACACTTGCACCACCATGCCATGGAAGACCTTGGTGAGTCCCAACCTAGCTCCAATTTTCTTATAACCCATCAGCAACAAGTGCTGTCCGAGCCACGCCATTGGGGCCGGTTAAACGACACCAGCACGCATGTGACTTTGGACCTCATGCAGGCTCCAAGTTCAGCATTCGGATTCTTGTCTCCCAGAGGGAAAAATAAAGAAGAGGAAGAAGAGTGTTCTGAGTTATGGAGCACCATGGAAGGAGCCCATGTAGTTTAAAATTAATCTGCAACACCTACTTTATTCTTTTGCATTTGGTGTTAATTGTTTGGTCAGTGAGGCTTTTGGATCGTTCAACTTGCTGTATAATTCTTTTTTGTTTGATTGGAAACTCTTTTTTCACTCGGTCTCTAATTTTTACCATAATTAATTTTCATAGTTCAATTCAATTGTGTACAGTGACTGGAATAATCAATGCACTTGGAGCAATTTGCCAATTGAACCACTGTTTTCTTTCCAAGTTTTAAGTTGCGGTAGTTGAAAGTTGATCTCACGTCAAAACTAATTCTAAGGATAGCTGATTATATATATATATATAGATATATATAAGTTTATAGAGGAGCAGGCACCATTGTCTTTTTCATTTTTGTTTCTGGGTCTTAATTCATTTACAATAATGATATTTTCTTTAGGCTTATCACGAGCAGTATATCTAGGGTTTGAAACTCAATAATGGCAACTAAATATAAGGATTGTTCTCGTCGCGGGACTTAATCTAATATTTTATAGCACAAACTAATAACTACTTGTGTCCACAATTCTGAAGGACTTGTGTCCATGTTCTTGAAGGCATCCCTTTCTCTCAAGAGGATTTTTCCATAAAGTTTTTTACTCTGCATCGAATAAAACCACATACTCTATTGTTTGTACGGGTCTTTATTAATTTTTCTTAACATATTAAAGAATAATATAAATATATATTAAAGTTCTATTTAATAACTAAATAGTAATGAATTTAAATTTTACTATATTTATTCTCTTTTCTAATTAAAAATCTAATTAATAATAAAAGATAGTATGAATCTGTGTAAATTTTAAATTTAAAAGGCTTTCATATTTAATTAATAGCATAATATAGTGTGATTTATTCAATTCTCAAGTCTAAAAAGTTTTTATTTAAAGGAGTATGTTAGAGAATAATAGAAATTATATATTGAACCTAGTAATTTAAGTTTTTAGATTGAGAAAATTATTTGACAAAATAAAATATTTACAAGAATTTATATATTTATAAAAAATATTTTTTTAAAACCTTATTTTAGGATTGAACCCTAGCTAGATTGTTTTAGATTAGACGATGGAGATTAACTATATGTGTTTACTAGAAAATATTTTTATAAAATGTGAATTTTTGAAAAATAGATAAGTTTTTTATATTTGACAAAGTTATAAAAAATGAGTTAAAAAGCAGTTTTTAGTATTTAGTTATATTAGAAAAAATAAGATGGAAAACAACTTGTTAATGTTTTTTTTAAGATTATTAAAAAAAAAATATGATATATTTAATGTTTTTTTTAAGATTATTAAAAAAAGAAAAAAATATGATATATAAAAAAAAATTAAAGTAGAATGAAATTGAAAAAAAAATCAAATTTATAAAGTATTTCAAATAAAAAATAAAGATCAAATCTAATACATAAAAAAATAATAAAATTAAAAACAATTTGAAAAATAATGTTTTTTTATCTATAATTTATCACATCTTTCAAGATTAGAAAGAAATCCAAATCTTAAGGTGCCATGCTTGTGGGACTCTCTCCCGCATGAAATTAATTGACATGTAAGGCTTGAATATATACACATAACATGCCTCTAGCTTTCCATTGTGCCACGAAAAATGCAACATCAAACCTGTGCTCTACTTTTGGGGAAAAAAATGTCCGGGAAAGCATATGCTAGAACTAAAGTTCCTCTAGTTAAATTAAAACCCGAAGTAAAGTCGAACTGCCTGCCATAAAGAACATATTGGGAAACCTTTCTGATCTTCCCAGAAAAAAAAGAAGAAGAAAAAAGGGCCCTTCTCCTTCTTTTAACTAGGCAACTTCACCACTTTCAAGGTGGACATCATAAGCTTCAGCCTGTTACAATGACAGGCAAAGACAACATGCGAGAAAGATACCAAGAGATAAAAGCACAATTATGAAATTTATACCCGAAACAAACTCGACTTGGGATTTATTTAGTAAAAATCATCATTTCATTTTAGAAACTCTCAAAATAAAATTAAAAAAATAATTAGTTGAAAGCATGAGTTGACCATATTAATCTCAAAATAAAATTAAAAAAATAACTAGTTGAAAGCATGAGTTGACCATATTAATCTCAGACCAAATTAGTGTTATAAAATATTTTTTGAAATCATTTTTTTCTTGAGAAAACATCAAACTTGTGTTTTTAATAAATTTTAATGTATTGATATTAAAATAAAAAAATTAATAAAATTATTTTTATATATTTTTAATTAAATAATATTTTTGAAGATATTTATGCATCGCAGCACCGCAACACAAAACCCACAACAAACAAACACTATTCCAAGTGATATAACTATGAACAAAAGCATCCAATGTGCGTACACTCGAAAGACACTTCCAAGACCACACATTGGAAAGAAATAAAAGCAAATTTTCTCATAATCTTCGAAAGTTGATTGAAGCCAATCAAGCTTCTTTCTCAAAGTGCACGCCTGCAATTCCAAAGTCGAGAAAGTGTCCTTCGCAACCAAAAATAGTATGAGATTCCACGAGTGGTCTATTGATAGTTACAAGACTAGTTGTTTTCAAGTTTTGATGAAAGTTGCTTGGTGTTGAAGGCTTAGAAATTATCATCATGCCTAGAAACAACTATTATGTGGCCACGCACTATGCACTGTTGATCTCTGTCGTGGCACTAGCAGGATGCACACTATTATGTGTGTGGATCACCATCCTGCACTTCTCAGCACGAGAACGATCCCTATACATGAATTTTGGAAGCGGAAAATGCCTAATTAATAACCCCCAACCTAGCAATTATGAAACTCTTAAAAGACTCTTGATTAATTTCCAAGGCCTCACCAAGCGCTTTAGATGTTTTAGAAAAGCTCAATCGAGTCCCAAACCTGTATACTTATTTTTAATTGAGTCCCAAACATGTAAAGTTTATCAACAATGTTCCAAGAGTTTCAAGAAGTTCTTAACCAGGCTTTATTGTTAATGTTCAGTAATGTTTTTATCAAGTATTTCTCAAATTAATGTCATTTTAGTTTACGAATATTCATATCAGACCGAAATTGCTAACATCCATTCACTTTTATGTCAATTAGGCATATTAGCACATACAATATGCATATTGGGCATGCTCTATTAAAAGAAATTGACAAGACAACACGGTTGAGAAATGTAGAACATGTTTGGGACCTAAGTGATAAAATTTATAAATTTGGAATCTAATTCTATTTTTAAAGTTCAAATCAATACGGTTTTTTTATTATTATTATTTGTTGCTTGATGGTCAAAGGTATTCTTAGACCATTTTATACGTTAATACAAAATAAATGTTCTTTTTAATGATCATCAGGGTGTACTCCCCCCGCCCCCTCACATTGCCCTGATAAATCTAGGAAAATAAATTCTCTTGTTTATTGGTCTGAATAAAACTCGAATTTAGAAAATATGAGGTAATGGAAATAATTCCTTAGTTATTTTTATGTATTTTAATTTTACTTCTCCCTTTGTTTTATGGCATAATAAAACAGAAGAGGATTGGGTATTGATTAAATTGCATCCTTGATCTAATCAGTTAATTTTACTCTTGAAATCTTTTCTATTAATGCTAATTGAATTATGATGCTCAAAGCAACGACACCCTTTTGCCTAGTTTGATTTATACTTCTAGAACCTAACTTGTTCTGGCAGGTTTATCATCAAAACTCGAGATTTGAAACCTGATTTAAGTCAAATTATTATGTATTTGACTCTACAAAATACATACTATTAAAGAATTCAATATGTTGATTCAACTAAGTTCTACTGTATATCCAAAGACGAAGAGACTTCTGGTTTTCTTGACTATTCAAAACCAGGTGAGTTCTTTTCCCCTTCAATATTCAAACCACCACATTCAATGGCTGGTGATGGGCTACACTGCTAAAGGCTAAATATCAAACCTGTTTCTGTAGAGGTAAAGAAACACTTGTCATAACTCCAACAAAACCTAATCACCAATGCTAGCTAGCTCCTGGACAACGTCAGAATCCAAACAAGATCTGTTTTTTTTTTTTTGCTAATTTAAATAAAATTCATGTAATATTATTTCAGTTATACATAAGTCTACGAGGAAGGAATTTAATCTTATATTTAAAAACTAATCTAAAAACACCCCAACTGCCAGCTAAACAATTAAAATGACCATCGCTCTACTAATAAATAAAATTAAAAGAATTAGGCATGAAAATAGACCGATCTGTCTCTTCCTTTGTTTTTATTCAAAGAGAAACTAGGGTATAATGACCTCTCACAGACCACCACATCTCTGTCCAGCTGTGGATGAAGTCCCACCACCGCAAAGGAGGCAAAGGACAATCACTGAATACTGATCACGTGCAGTGCACGTGAATCTGCAAAACACATATCACCCAAAAATCAGTTGCAACCCCACAGAAGACCTACTAACCCTAAAGAAAAGTCTCTACGTACATAGGGTTTGAAAAGTACCCCCCTCCTCCTCCATGAGCAGTAGCAATGGAGTGAGCAGTTGCCTTTATTAATGGGCTCCACATCCGCAGCACAAAGTTTATGATGATCAGAGCAGAGGGCCCGACTGCATTGATGAAAGATGAAAGATGACCGATGTGTGGTGGGGGCGAGCATAGAAGCTGGGATTGGGGAGCTAATGCAAATACTGCACTTGTTCCATGAGGCAAGCGCCGATGTGCCTTTCATGCCTCTGTGTAACAGAGAGGTTAAATATTGTTCAATTTCTTATTCAGTCACCAAAATCACGGACCACTTTTTTTTTTTAAAAAAAAAACTAGTTCCTCCATGACTTGATGATTATGATAGCCAAGGGAGGATTTGTAACTTGCTATGTTAATTGTAGCTACTGCCTAAATTCCTCGTTGTATCTTCACAGTTTTTTCAGTTGTGCGGTTTTAAATAATAATTTTTTAATCGAGATTTTAAGAGATGTTTTAGTGGGATACATGAAAACTTATGTTGAGTTTTAATCAACTAAATATTTTTAAAACTATACCTGGAGTTAAAAACAGTTTCAAGTACCATACACACACACACAAATTTATTCTCAATAATCAATATGAAAACAGGATTTAATATTTTGCGAAAGCCAAAAAAGTTATAATTATAATTTTCTCATTATCATTTTTTTTCCTCGCTAGTTCCTCTCAAATTCCAAACAAACGAGACTAATCCACTCTTTCTCTTAATTTAAAAAAAAAATAAATATTTTTTTGAACTA